TTTTTTTTTTTTTTTGCATTGTCCTCATTATTTTATATGGACTATCATATTATATAATATAATTTATGTGCATACATTGAACAACACTTCACTTATGTAATTTGAAGATTAATAAATAGACTACCACTATATATAGAATAAGAAATTCAACTTTTCATGGTCATGAAACTTAGGGAAAATAATGACATAATATCATAGATGAGGTCTACTTTTGCAGTTACATAAGGTTAACACCAATCCATCACTGTCCCTTCGTGGACATCCGATAACATTGGAACGATACAGAGAAGATTAGCATGGTCCCTGTGCAAGGATAACACCAATCCATTACTAAATTATAATAAAACACTTTTTTTCTTATTTTATAAATTCTAAATAATAATCAAAAGAATTTTTTTTTATGTAAAATTATTATTCAAGAAAAAGTGTCTTTTACAGCAGTGACAAAGTGAATCCTAAAATAGGTAATTTTGTTTGTGTCCCATAATTTATTAACATCTCATATAAACCACCTTAAACCCAACAAAATCAAAGGGTGCAATTAATTAATTAATTTACCCCCTTTTTTTTCCTTCTATTGTACAGTGGTTTGTTTCTTTAAATGGGTATCTGTTAGAAAAATTTTGCACAGCATTTTAAAAGTGGTGGACCATTGAGCCCTTTGCAAAACACACCAAGAAAAAGACTAAAGCCAAAAAGAAACAAAAAAATTATATCACAAAATCATTTTCCTCTTTTTATTTTTTATTTTATTAGAAAGTAATTTATAATATTTAGACATTAGTCCAAAAAATGAATCTCACAATCATCAAACATATATAAAAAAAAAATATTATTTGATAATTTACATAAAAAAAAACATTGTGTTGTATTTGATAATTTACATTTTGAGGATAAATGAGAGATTTGATCCATTATAACATTTTTTTAATAAATAATTAAAATAACTTTTAGATCAAAAACACTAATTTTTAAAAAAGCTCATGAATATGAGACACATTTAAGATAGAGAATTTAAATTTTTAGTTAATTTTACATATCAAAGACCTTTAATTAATCAAATCAACTATTCAAATATGTTAATCTAATAATTTCAATCATGATAATAATTGAATGTGATATCTGTTTATCTAAGGAAAACTTTTCCAAATGAAATGAA